TTTCATTATCTTCTTGTACACGGAAACTTTGGGCAGGCATGCAATTCCCACACCTGATTCCGTAAAAAATGCGCTCAGTCTCTTCTGAGACGTCCTGGCGAGTCCAAGGAGAGAAACTGAATTAATCGGTGCATCTATTTGGCGCCGACGTACAGAGCCAGACGCAGTCACCCCCACACCCGTATCACTTATTTAATCGTACCTCTTATAAATTTTGCCTCTTTATTGCAGCTGTTGTGTCTGCCAACAAACTCCTGTACCGGTTCAGAATAATGTAAAAAATGTACGGTGCCCGATCAGCCTTCTTTATTCATGCCAACCTCTGCAACTCGAACATTCGCACCCAATTCCTATTTGCGTACGCCGCCCTTGGCCCCCCGCAAATCAAGAAACAGTGCAACAAGAACAAGCGTCGTTGTCGGGTAGCAAAACGCCAACCACTTCGCAGTTAATTTGCGACGTTCATAGAGTGACCACTAAAGTTCAAGTTGGAGAATTCAGCGGCCAAGCCATTTTGGCTGTCACCTCAGAAGTCGACTGTGCAACCCCGAAAATCACACAGAAAATTTGCTGTGACCACTGATTATTCATTCTATAGGGGTGCCAATTCGACGACCTCGAAGGATGGATTCAGCCCCAGTCGTCTGAGGCCGCAGCACATGCTGACACAGAAACGCCTGCCGTTTCTCTCTTTGCACACAGGAAAGCTAAGTACACAAATTTCCGTCGACTGGGTGCGGTTGTGCCCTCTTCGTCATTCCAATTGGCTCATCTCAGTGGAACCTCGGATGGTGACAGCAACACACGAGCCCCCACACGAGAGTCGAAACCGTCATCAAGTGCACTAATTTCGCGAGCACAGTGTGCTGCGCAAATCTCCAACTGCGCCCTCTGGTCTCCATGCCCAGCATGTGTGCAGTGGGCAGGATTTTGTTGGTAGCCTTGAACATATTGGCACACAGGATGAAACATGAACTTCAGCGGTTTACAAGGAGCGGCACAGGAGCACAAATAACAAAACGAGAAAGCTGAAGCAAGCGACAGGGTACACTCACTATGTGATTGAATCGAAGGCAGTAGGCAAGGCACGTGTGAATTCACTGGGTGCAGACTGAATTTAAATCAAGTCGTCGTACTGTAGGAAACGCCCTAGATCTCCTCAAATCAGGTAGTGAAAAAAGAAGTACGTAGTTTGCAATTTCCACAGAAAAAATACATGTGCCGAATAATCTGCCTTTGGCACAAAGACGCCGAGGAACACCCCATCGAATATCGGGAAGTCAGAGAAAGGGTCTCTCTCGGTAAAATGATCATCACAATGCAGGAACTGTTTAGATACTCCATCTAGTAGAAATTTGTTAGAATACGAAAATTGGGGGTTTAGCTTATCTTCCTTTCCACCTCGAAAGTGTGAGAGGATCCTAACACAACGACATTGAGCATGAGATACAAAATACGCTGATAATCATGCAGAAACGTGTACCCTTTAGACTACGTGACAAGCCGACTGACCGAAGCAGGTTCACTACGGTTTTCTTCAAGCAATTGAGATGACAAATTCCCAATTATGTCAGATCAAGGAGCTAGGAAACGCTTCCTGTTCGGTTAACTCAAAAACGATCTTTAAAATACGAGAAAACGCATCACTAGTCCTACTATTACAAACACATTTGTATTTATAGGGATATTTTGCAAAGTCCCTTTTCACGTAATCTATAATTACGAGTCCCATACAGGCGTACATATTCACTGAAAACTTAAAAGATTCGCTTGAGAATAAAGTAGTAATTGGACTTTTAAATTACCAGTCGTGCTGTTCATTGCCCACTGTTTGCCAGTAGCTCATTCAATGTACTCAAGACACTTGTGTGAGAGATGAACGTCAAGCAATTTTAATAGGGTCTCCTCTCTGTTGCAAAATAGTGCCGAGAAACAGAACTTTATGTCAATCTTTATATATGTGCTAATTCTTTTGGTACAGCTGTCTGATTTAACCACAAGATGCTTTCCAATTAGCTTGCTACTGGCTTGATCTATAAGACGTCAATATCAACTTCCTAAAATCTTCTAGAACGTTGTTCCTTTTAAACAATATATCATGCACTATTCTGTACAAAGTAAAAAGTGATGTTTTCCTTAAATTAATCCACAAGTGCTTTGTAACTCTTTAGCAGCCTTTAAGCGCCGCGTTATGCTCATTTAACCCAGACTCAGCCCATGTCTAGGTCGTATCGCGCTAAAATTACTACCCTTCAAATATACCACAACTGGACTTTATTCTTTATATGTGTTAAACAGATTTACTGTTTCTAAGAGCTCAAACTCAGGTTGAGCTGCCGCAACTAACGCCACCAACAAGATAAAGGGCAACACGTACTAAATCCGCCCTTACATGCTCCGGGAAAGCTGATGAGACTATTAGCGCTACACTAGAGGCATGTACGTTCAGAAACAAAGCGCTTTGTTAGAAAAAAAAAACAATTCAGAAACCGGGTGCCACTACAAGCGGTTAGTGTCACCATCGAGAACAATGATATCCACCGCGTGCTCTAGAGCGAGATGGGCACAGGACGGCCAATTGTGCGCAAATTTGTTTAAAGGGATTGTAGACTTGCTCAGGGCCTGTCACACTCTCTCGCACCTCAC